CACTCAACCCTACTTCTTTAGTACTGCACAAAATATTTTCTTTAATTAAATAATGCATCAAAGAACACAGAATAATATCATGCAAAAAGCAGACAGTGTTACATAACTATTAAAATTTTTCTGTCTTTCTAACTGCAACAACAGCAATTAAAAATTCATCTAAGCTCGTCAATGTGTTTCCCGTGGGAATCAAACTTGAATTGAAAGCAAAATTGACAATTCTCTTTACAGAAAACAGCATAATACAATACACCATTTGACAAATGAAAACCTTGGCTTTCTATTGGTTATAAATAACACAGTATTGGAATGCAAATTGAACTATTGGCAATTTCGGGAACAGAGTATGCGACAGGTAGGCATAGCAAGAGGGGTTTGGTTGTCTATTTTCATGGCTTTGTAACCAAATAAGATTGAAGGATATGAAAATTATGCTTTGCATGAATGATGACAATATTATAAATAATTTATGCTAAATTTAGTACTTCTTGAAGGAGTGGTAAATAAATTAAAAAGAGATGCCTAGAGAGCAAATGTCACAATTCTCATACTAGGGAAAATTCTAATTTTTCTTTTAAATATTGCCTTATGAAAGTAAGAACTTACAACTAAAATACTATTAAAATATGGACTATTAGCTACATTTTTATGTTATATTTATTGGTATACCATGAAAAGAAAAATTAAATTTGAATGTAACTCAATAAAACATCGTGACATGTGCAGAAAAAGATGTATATGGAGAGAGGTTTAAATTCATATGATGTATTATCAAAGCTGTAACAGAATAGCATTCACATGATTTAGTTTTTCTCACATCAAGAGAAAACAAATTCTGCATACAGATTTAGCTATCTTCCTCACACATCTGCCAAAACGATTTGCATGCCACTAGCCTTGAAAGGCAACTCTTACCTAACTTCACATGACTTAACGTGAATTGTGCAACTGGATACTGATATAATCATATGACAAAAGCCCTCCACCAATAGGAAGGTTGTACACCTCCATGCACAATAATTTCCCTATGCATTTGCACTTGTGTAAACTTCCTTCTTTGATGAAGCAAGGAAGAAAATGTACACCAGAAGTGGGGAGGATGGGTGGAAATGTGTGTGGCTGTGAGTACCATATGGAAATACATTTATAGCTAAGGAAAATGTTAACTTTAGAAACAACACCTCACCTCCACAGACAGATTTAGCTAAAATTCTGCATTAAATTGGTGAAGAGGAAAGTGGGGAGTGACATCTGATGGCAGGGGCTTCATTGAGATACACCTGTGGTAGACGGCATCTCATTTTATCAAGGATATACTCTTTACCCACATAGGAAAATTGAAACAGGCAAAGCAGCCAAATTTGTTTGCAGGAATAGGCAGAATGTGAACATGACCACTCAAGTATTTGCACACAAATTGTTGGACAGCCAATATGTGTAATGTGATTAAGACGTATTCAGACCATAGCTTGTGTGCACATGTAATAAGTATCTGTGTAATAATATCCAGATTAAGAAATGGTAAGAGAACACAGGAAGTATTGCGGGCATGGTCCAGTGACCATGACAATTCCTCAAGGAGAGGCTCACAAAATAAGACAATGGACCTCATGGAGAAAACCTTGTATCTGCAAAGTCCACTGTAGGAGACAGATGGGTACATGCCCAAAAGAAAGAAGAGGTTCCAGGGAAGCCAGAGGTCCCAAATGCAAAAGAACCTCTCACACAAGTAAAGAAAGAGATGTGTAAGGCTAAGTTACCAGACATGCCATGGCTTGCAGGCAAAGAAGAAAGGGCCCAATTTGGTTGAGACAAGATGAAGAAAAAAAACCCAAAGGTACCAAACATTGATTGGGTGTAAGGAAAGATTGAGATCCAAGAATAAGCCCCCGCCCCGGAACCATAAAGTGACATAGAAGGTAAAGGGCTCAAACCCCAAGCTGATTAGATACCAAAGGAAAAATAACATCCTCCATCCACCTTCAGTGGCAGAAATAATTAGGTGGGAGTTGCCTCAAGGCTAATGGCATGCAAATTTCTGGCAGATGCACAAGGAAGATAGCTAAATTTATGTGCAGAAGGTATCATTTGGAACACTAATCTTGAAGAACTTTTTCAATGCAAACCACCAAGTATCAATACTTTTTACACCACAAAATGGTTTCATTTGAGCTATATACACACACAGACCAACACAATCACTCACCTGGTTAGTATCAAGAGCCCAGGATAAATACCATGATTCACGATTTTTCTCTTTAGCTTCTCGTTCATATTTTTCAAGAGTCCTCTTGTCAACCATGCCTGTCAGGTATCTGTAATTAATCATTATTGGATCTGTAAGAACTAGAAAAAAAATTCACTGGAAGTTATAATTTTCATATACTAAAAAATGTATTTCCAATAGGTACTTCCCTCTTCTCACAAGATTAGCTATTCTCATTCATTGTTGCTCTCTATATGCAAACTTTTTCTTTATGCATGATGCAAATCTTCTGCTCCCCTCTATTGGAATCAAGTGATTCCAATGTGTCTATCATGCAAATCATCATGAATCACCTCTTCACCAATAGGAGCATAGTACACTCACGAGACTCCCTCTATGCGCCTCTACCGAACATCACTTCGAAGTTTGGCAGGAAATGGAAGCATCGGAAGTGTGTGTGGAGGGAAGTAGCTATCGGAAATACATTTTCGGTATAGGAAAATTCTAACTTCTGATACGGTACTTCCCTCTTCTCACAAGATTAGCTAGAATCCCACACTGATTAGGAGGAGGGACAGGTGGAAGGGAAGAACAGACATACAACAGACATACCCCCCCGATAGCACCGAAGGATACCTCTGTAGATGAGAGAGTCAGATCGGAAGATCTGAAGAGGGGAACTACATCACTTCTGTGCCAGGTATACTCTTTGCTCATGTGTGGAACATGTGCTCCTCTCATTTTCTGCCCTATCTTACAAGTGTGTGGGAGAGAATGTGGTAGGAAAGTGATCCTAACCATAAAAGGATATTGTAACTCAATCCCACAATGAGAAAAATGGGTAAACAAGGATCGCAACCCTGGGTGTAGAGTGGCTAGGGCATGGCGGACCATACTCCGCAAGTCAACTACATCCAAAACCTCCTTGTGGGGTACCGACATCAAACCATCTTCACCTCAAACTCAAGAACTGGAGAAGTGAGAACCACTCTGATTCACGGGTATGACGCAAAGATTAGCTCTGAGCTATTGATCCAAGAACTTGACATTTGGTATCGAAAGGATGTCTATTGCATGCAAACAGCTCTCTCAACCGTGAAACAGGTCGGGGATATGGCAATAACATCCCTGTAAGAGAAACCAGGGGATAGCCAAGGACAAAATTGGAACAATCCTATGTACCACCGCTGTTACTCACAACACAGATGGAAGAAATTGAGGGAGGAAGGTAGACAACCCAAAACCTGTGTGAGGACTTATGTTGATTGGTTCACTCTAAATCGAAAACCTATCCACAGGGTACCAACATCCTTGCGAGGGTAGGATGAGGGTTCCCAATCAAAGGAGTGAACTGCATTCTGATGGCTCACTCTTTTGTATTGATTATTGCAAATTGGAGGATATTACATCATCTACACCCACAGAACACTACTGCCCTACTCTGCACTGAATGGTTACAGCCATCTTTGCATAGAACCTATTCAGGAGGGTGCCTCCACAGTTGATCCCCCCAGCAGTTTGGAACTGGTAAGTGATAAGGACTCCCATACTCCACTAGAGAAAAATGGGAATGAGAATACATTAGAGAGTCCAGAGGAACATCATCACCTGAGACAGTGCAATGGGTGATCACGAAACCCTATATTGAAAAGAAGACCATACCAATCTATTCAATCGAGGTATAGCAGGCATGGGCAGATATCCCTTTCTGTTTTACCCATGAAGACCATGGTTGTTATGGTCCAGAACGGACAAATTTGTGAAGCAAAAATCACAAGGTTATTCACCTACAAGCAATCTTGTGAAACACCCCATCTCAATAGTGAGCATTGCAAAGCCATGGAAGATAAAGCACAAGTCAACATGGCTTTACAGTGCAGGATCCATGTAAGCATTGTATGAAGGATGGACCCCTGAAATAAAATAAAGCATTATGAGAGACTTACCCAGTCTTAGAGTCACACCAAACTTTGAAGAACGGCCACAGGTAGAAGGCAAAAACCCAAGAAAGCTGAAACCATGATATGATGTAAGTAATGGGAGATGAACATGTTAGGGGTGGTCCACATGTCGGATTGCAGGATTTCCTTCAAAGGCTGATGAAGACGAGAAGCGAGGGAAAAGATGAGGTGTCAGATTTGATGGGAAGTTACTGTGAACAAATTCCGGGGGAAGGGGACAATGAGGAATAAGCCAAATGTATCAAATGATGAACCCATTTGGTGAGGGTAGAATGGGATAGATCTCTAAATGAAGAAGACTGCCATGGGAATCAGAGAAAGAAGCTGTGCAGGCAACATAACAATGAAGGGCACACACTGAACACAGAAGTCTATCAAGATCGGGACAAGGGAAGAGAAATATGCCAAAAAAAAAAAAAAAAGGAGTTACTCTCTTGAGCCGCTGAGGTTTTTAGGAGGAAGGAACAATCCAGATAAAGGAGAAGATAGATATGGTAGTAAAGTGTATGTGTAACATCGATGGCGAACAAGTAAGACTATCGACAACCACAGGCCAAAAAGAGAAGGAAATATGCTTTATGGGAAAGGTGGAACATAGGACCAGATTAATATCCCAGTCCGGAAGAGTAGGTCATCAGGGAGGATGAAGAATTCGGAAGGAATGGATTAACATGATAAGGATGGGTGAAGCAAAGACCCTACAGTAACAGGAAAGACAAAAACTGTGGGACAAGGCTTCTTTATAACTTGAAATTGAGGACAACAGCCACAGTAGGTTGAGTAGCCGGAAATTCCCGAGCATGGGACCATGTGTGAAAGACTTTCCACCTCCGCTGATAAACTTCCATAGAAGCAGAATGTATGGATTGAGCAAAATGGAAAGCTACACAATGGGAGAAACCAGATCTCCTTGCCAAGGACCAGACAAAATCCAAACATGAAGATGGAGGAAGTGTTTAGCAGAATGTAGAACTGGTGACTGGAGTTGACGAAGGAGGGCGAGGAATAAGGAAAGTGGTACAGGAGGGAATAATTGGAGTTAGTGCAAATGAGGAAACTACGATTGAACCAGCCATTAGGGAGCTATCAGAAGAACATGTCAAGGAGTGGTATGGATTAGGGATGGGGGAATAATCAAATAGGGTTGGTAAGAATGTTCATGCAGTAAGGAAGGATGTGATTCATAAAAAATAGGAGCAAGGGATAAAACATCACATACCTGTGAAAAAAGTCCAAAAAACCGTGGAAGGCCAAACTAAATCCTGAGGAAAGGTATGGGAAGGCACAGCAAATTCAGGAGGTGGAACCAGGTGATCAAAGTCCCCATCAGCCTGCACAGGTTCAGGAAGAAGTGGTGCAATGTCCAAAGAGACACAGGTTGACTCATGTAATGTTCAATCTCCCTTCAGGTGACCCACACCTGAAGCCTGTGATAAAGCACCTGTCGAAATTGAGACACCCGAAGTGGTGACATTGACTTCGGAATTCATGCTTCAATAGTCGACAACAGCGAATGTATTAAATAAAGGCGACTACAATTAGACAGAATTAAAGTAACATTCAAGAAAACTGGGTATGTTAAAAAATTATACCCATCTCGAGAAATAACTATAGCTCAAACTGAAAGCTAGGTACGCAAGTATACTATGCTCCTATTGGTGGAGAGGTGACACAATGATTTGCATGAGACACACGTTGGAATCACTTGATTCTAATAGGGGGAGCAGAAGGCTTGTGGCATGTGCAAAGAAAAAGTTCACATATAGGGGGCAGCAATGAACTAGAATAGCTAATCTTGTTAGAAGAGGGAAATACTGTATGGGAATGTGGAAGCTCAAACTTTGCGAGATTCATTATTTTTTAAGAGAACTACTTAAAGTTTTCAATTTTACTTTTAGATTGCGAAAAATGAGTTGTAACTTTAACATAGCCATCAAGATTTACATTATCTTTAACACTTATTAATGCATTTCTTTCAATTTTAGGCATTACGAACACTTGTGGGTGTATAATGAATGAGCCCAATTACAATGGAAGGCAAATGTGATGTTTTAACCTTTTCACTTCATTCTACTTACATTATCAGTAGGTTACATAACTTTCAAATTTCCTGCCAAAAATAAAACTTGAATACAACACAGTTTGAAACTTGAGAAGAACTTTCCTAAAGGCATGTAGTTTCAGAAACATAAAATTGTGAAATTCTATTTTTTTTCCATATTTCTACTAAAAATTCTTTATTTATTGTAGTTATTTGCACTCAGATTCTGAGTAGTTCAAATGGAAGATGATTTTCCTGTTTAGTATAACAATTTTTTTTTATCTTACAGTTTTCAAATTTAGAACCTGCTAAATGAATATCAAAACCTTTTTTGAGAAAAACATTTATATTTTCGTTTTTTTATGTCATATCACTAACTGCAGTTATTATCATCAACCTACAGTGCAATGAAATGTTTAAAACTAATAAATAGAAATATGTACATACTTTTTAACTCTTTGTTGTATAATGTTAAAATATCTTTTTTTGGTTATATTCGTAATTTCAGGTCTTTACCTTTTCACTTTAGTTTATTTTTAACGTTTATTTTCCTTTTCTGTCCTTTACAATTTATTACTTTTTCTTGATGCACACCAACAAATGCCCTTGGGGAATTTTACACTATCTTTGGCAGAGATACGCGAGCCTTTAGCGAAAAACTTTTGCATTCACGTACTAAGTTAACCCTCTTGAACCGGAGTGAAGTTTGGGATATATTAATAAAATTATTTAACCTTTGAAGTATGAATTTTATAACACAACTAATACATAATTAACTAAAATATAAAAGTAAAACCAAAATACAATTTAACTGTCAATCTTACTAATATGTAAACAGGCAAGAGACAATGCTCAGTGCTAGTGAGGATTAAATAAGCAAACAATGCTTCAACTGTTTGATGCATTTAGTAACAAATATTTCTCATCAGTTTTAAAATAACAAATCGGAGATTGTAGTTCAAAATTAGCTCTTTCTATTATTTATAAATATGTCAATCAAATAAGTATATGTTGCTTGAAATAACATGTCCAAATGAAAAGGTGAGTATGGGTACTGTCAAGTGAGGAAATAAATTTTTCTCTGATCTCTACCTTGGATATGGAGGTTGAAGTACGAATTTATAAATAGCACTGTAAGAGTAGATTCTATTAATGAAGGAATACAGATAAAATGTTAAGATCTGTTATCACTCGTGTATCACGTGACAACAAAACTGAAGTTTAATTATTTTTATTTACAGGTTTCTTTTGAAATAATGGAATTCAAACTTATACAATATAAAACTGAATTATAACATACAAGATAATTCTAATTTCATTAGAATACATTGATAGTAAAGTTGTTTAATTAAATTTTGAATGTAACTTAGTAAAACCTCCTGACTTGTGCAGAAAGGAGTTTAAAAAGTGAGGTTCAAGTGAAAGGGTTATGTAGTTAAAACAACACACCAAAACCAATATCATAAACTTATTGGGCTAGATAAAAGTTGTAGTTTATGTGTGTGTGAAATCATAATGAATGATACCAGGTCAGTTCTCCCATTCAATACCTGGTGAAAACCTCATTAAAAAAATGCATACTTACAAAAGCTGTCCACCAATGGTTGATTTGCCAGCATCTGAAAAAATAAAATAATTAAGAACCGTGCAAGATGGATGCAACTACTTGAACATCACAGCAAAGAGGTTTTTTTTAGTTATTGTTTAAAAAAATGAAATTTGAATGTGATATATCATAATTTTAATCTTAACATCACTGCACAAGTTTAACAGACTAATTTACTTTAGGTACTACTAACAAAACCCCTCAGGTTACAAAAAAGTGAATGTACCATTAGTTATTTTATTACTATATTTAAGAGGGTGAGAAAAAGATTATTGGATTTAATAAACAAAACTAGATACACCACACTGATATCTTACATCCAGTTTTTACTAGAGCTAGCTTTTAATTTTCCTCAGACTTGATGAAAACTCCTCAACTACAAAAATTAGAAATAAGTAACAAATATGAATAAAATGTTTAAATGAGTAGCAATAAGAGGAGAGGAAAAAACAGTAAAAAGGACTTAGCTGTAGTGATTTTTAGCACATGTTACACAAACTAGATAATAACCTACTATTAATTATGTTTATTCTTAAATATTGGAATCATACCATGAGAAAGTTCTGCAGACAAAACATGGATAAAGGAGAACTCATTTCATCACAGTAGCCAAACAAAAACATGATGATTAACTTGTAAACAAATACATTGCTATAACCACCATATTGAGAAAGAAAAGCATAAATAATATTGTACTATTTTCATGAAGTAAATACAGAACATTAGCTCACACTCAACTACTCTCTAAACAAGCATGAACATACATAATTAATGAAACAACAAACCTCTTCAAAAATTACTAAAACAGTAATAACTACACTGCTGCATATGTGAATAGTATAACTAATGTTAAAGCCTTGGTTACTGAAATCAAACTGTTTATTGATAAAATTACTAACAAACACACATTTATTTCTACATCAGCACTAGATAATTGCCACTCGCCAATTGCAATTAATGTTACAAATTAATGAGTAGAAAACTACACTGAATTACAGCTAAGTTTTTTCTGTTTCATTTATGTTCTTCGTCCACTTCTGATTGTCTCATTATAATCTGTATTTGTTCTTTGTTGTATGGAAATAAACAGCACATATGAACTCGCCACTTGTCTAACTAGAAGTATCCTTCTGTAAGATGTTAAATACCATAACTATTATGTTTCAACTGGCATTTTATTTTCAAAGTAAAACTACAGAATTGAAAATCCTTTTCATATCACCAGCATATAATTCTGGCATGTTTCTTTCTAACTGGTGTTGAGAATGACCTATCTGAATAACTTGTGCTGCATCTCCCCTACCTGAACCATGGTACAGAAATATTCATTCACTTGCTCAAGAAATTATTATGGTGGTTAACGACAATGCAAATTTGGCAGAGTGCAAGATGAAAACATATTACCAAAATTTCAATATTTTCAGATCACATCATTATAAACAATTCAACTACTATCAGATACAACCAATAAATGTAGACAGTGGCTATATTTATGTCAGTCATAATGCAAGTTCAATGGCTATATTTACACCTAAATCAATTATATATTTTTGTGTTTTGATCACAACCAGTTACTGTCTTAGTAATAGATATCATTGCTTGGGTTATGCCAATACTAGATAATTTTTGATGGGTGGGTTGTGGCATTATGACCCTGACTGTTACATTCGAAGATCCCCACATAATTCTACATTCTGAACTTCATGTTTCAAATATAGAATGGACTAATAACAATGTTGAGAAGTACTGATATTGTCGCCATGTTTGATGATAATCCTCCTCTAAAACTTTTGCAATCTGCACGTGTAGCATTCATGGCATGAACATATCCATTGAAGTCACATTACAGCTACGCAATGATTGGAATTTTCTAATTGATTAATCACCAGGTTCATTAATCAATTACAATCAACTAATCAATTATTCTCATATGAGACTGATATTCCTATTTCCAACTTCTTCTGAGTTTTGCAAAGATATTTTTGAACTACCCTTTATTTAATATAATAAATATCTTCAGATACAAAAGTTTAGGATTAAGTTACTTTTTTTATTCTTAAACTGTTGTACGTGAAAATATATCCTAAACATAACACAAAACCTGCAATAAGCTGAAGATACAATTAATATCATTTCTTTGGCTTCTCCATACAAAATTTCACAAGATTATGAAAATAAACATTACTTAGTGCATTGTTTATAAATTCAGAAAAATACTAAATATAACATGATTAGGTTTTATTGAATGTTACTCTTTTACTTTTCCAACTAGTTAGTAAGATTAAGAAGAGAAGATAGGATTGTTATGGAAAACAGTAAGTTGTTTGATTTATTGATCTTTTAGGACAGAAGAGTAATTTTTATTCTAAAATGTAAAGGTATTAATAATTTTAATATGTTCTTCCCAAACTTCTGTTTCTATCATCAACTTCTTGCATAAAAGCTTATCGTGTTTTTCAATTGCCAATGAGTGAAGGCAACTGGAAGCACTCATGCAATGCCAACTTTTGAATAGGCTTGAACATCACATTAAACACTCCTAGGCTGGCATAGCCAGTGGTTGCCTCATAAATTATGGACAGCAGCTATGATATCCATGTCACCAAACATTGTTGCCTTTTCAGCTATCTGGATCTGGAGTTGGTATTCTCTTACAGAAGGTTCGGCATCATGGTGTGCCATGTCTTCCTTCCTTACATATGCCACTCTGACACATCTACATAGTTCAGTTGTGTTCATTCACATATGTCTTTCATCCAATTCTTTCTTGGTCTCCCCATTGGTCTTGCCCTTCAACAATGTTTCTGTATTGCCTGTTCTCTGACCACATCTACACATTCATTCTTTTAATGTATTAAATGTTCTTCTAGCTTTTATCCTTCTAAGTCCCACTACATTGGTGACTTGTCAACATCTTTGAAAATGTCCTCTGTATACAGGTTAAAAAGTTCTGGCAATATTATACACCCATCTTACTCCTCTTTTTATAGGAAATTCTTCTGATTCATTATCATTCAACTTGATTGATGCTGTCTGCTGCCAGTATAGATTTCAGCAATAATCTCATCCTTTCCTAGTGTTTTCCCATTCTTTAAACTCTTGATTGCCCACCTAACCTCCGACTCTAGTATATATGGACTGGTGTTATTAACCAGCTCATACTGTTGATATCATCATACAGTTCAGAAATGTACTCCTTCCAAGGATTAGCAATTTCCTTCCTTTCAAACAAGATGGTGCCATCTTTGTCTCTGATACAATCACCATCTGCTTTCCATCTTTTATTTCTGTCTGTGAGTTCTTTCACTTTCACATGCATTTCTTTCATCTTGAAATTTCTTTCTAGCTTTTCTATTTCATCACACCATTTATTGTACCATGTTTCTTTTGCCTCTCTGCAAGCTGTTTTTATTTTCTACAAGTTCATACTCTGGCATGTTTTTCTCTCCCCTACTCTTGTCCATCACTTCAAGTATAGCATCTGTCATCCATCTTTTCTTTTCTCCCATTTTGGTAATATTTCTTTGGCATTTAACTTGATGCTTTCTTTTAACTTGTTCAAATGCTGATCTATTCTTTCTCCTTCAACTGAGAACTGTTCTTCTTGCTCATTCTGTAGTGTGGCGTATCTGTTTGTATAGATGAAACTCCAAATTGCTGTTTCCTTCTTTCAACTTGTCCATATCTCATTGGTCACTGAATTGTCTTTTCTTGGGAATCTTTAATTTGATGTTGACTTTGGCTACTAGGAGGATGTGATCTGAATTAATGTCTGCACCAGGGTATGTTTTCTATTCTTTATTATTATACAAACAATTTGGTTATGATGTATATCCCCAGGGCCCCTCCATGTTTATAGTCTTCTCTTTTCTTTCCTAAATAATGTGTTTGAAATGCACGTTGTTTTCTTGACAAAACTATATAAGCCTTTCCCCTCTTTGATTCTTTTGCTCAAGGCCATAATTTACCACACTATTTCTACTCCTTGCATTGCCCACTTTGGCAATGAGTTCTCCCATCACAATGATCACATCTGGTGTCTTCACTTGTTTCATAACTCTGTCCAAACCTTCATAGAATGCTTCAATTTCTTCATCAGAGTGATCCACTGTTGGCACATATACTTGTACTACCATGATGTTAAACTGTTTGCCATCTGTCTTCAACATAATTGTTCAAGAGCATTATTATTTCATGATCAATCCCACTATTTATTGGTAAAAGGAGGATCTCATAAGTTAGTGGTGGGTGCTGCTAGCCAGTTGCCTTCCCCTGGTTAGTAGTTCAGAATTATGGATAATGGCAGATGGTCTTAGTAGCTTTGGCATATCTAAAGAACCCCCCCCCCCCCCCCACTGGTGACTGAAATAGAACTCGAGACTCTTGGGTCAAGAGAAAAAAACACTAATAAATAGGTTATGCTGGTCCAAACTGAAGAAAACTGAATTAATAAAAAAATTTATAATGAAAAATCATAATGGAAACATTTTAGTTACTTGGATGGCAGGAATAGTTGAAAATGGTAATAGTAGAAAACACTATAACTAATTATTTGATTATTTTTGTGAGTCTATGACACTAATTAAAAACAAAAATAGTTGTAAGTACTAATTTCAATTAGTCAATTATTTTTGTGACAAGTAATTTAACCATTAGTTCGATTAACCAATCAATGCTTATAGTTAATCAATTATATTGGATAATTGAGTCAATTGACCAGCTCTAGTTATGACTGGTATAAATATAGTCTCTGCAATAAAACTACAAGTATAGGTTTACTTTTATAGCTGAGTATATTTATGGCAAATTCAAATTAAGATACATTATTCACACAGCTAAGACCTTTTTGACTCTAGCATTGACATACACACATTAGTGACATGTTACTTACCTACATGGCCAATAAACACAATATTTACATGTTCTTTCCTTATTCCATGCTCTTCATTCTTAGGTTTCTTCTTGGGCTTTGGTGTGGATTGAGGCTCAGAAATTTCATCATCTTCAGCTAGATCAGTGTGATTAGTCTCTTCCACATCTGCCTCTTCCCAATCTGCAATATTCAAGTATCTTGCATATAAAATTATGCAAAGACACCTGCCATCCACATATTTAAACTAAAGATAACCTTACAAGATTGCTAAATTTTGACTGTTAGAAACATTTACCAAACCTAGAAGAAAAATTCATTTGTAAACAAAAACATACATAAATACAAATAAAATTACAATAAATACCAGTTCTGACTTGGTTAGAGAGATGGAAAATTCCTACAGGAAGTTTAATACCAGGAGTTTTTAATTTAGTACCAAGTCTAATACCAACCCAAATGTACTTTTAATAACATAACATATTGATGCCACAAAAAATTTGTCCCTAATCAAGTATAAAAATGTAACCTACTATTAAAGTTAACTTGTACATATTTTTTATAATCTAAAATCAAACTTAAATATATTTGTTATAGAACTCAATGTAACCAACAAACATAAGCAACAAGTTTTTATACTTAATGCTACTATATTATTTAAAATGGGTGTTCAACAGTCCAACCATATCAGATTACAACCAACAGTGACAAGAATGAGGACAACCAGACTTCTCAGCATGGTATACATTAAGTATGTGTATTTCCTCCATTATTTCATAAGCTTTAACATACTAAGTGAACTAAAAAGATATAAGTTGCGGTATGTTTATATGGAGGACTATCGATTCAAACTTCTCAGTGGCAGTCCTAGTAATTGTGATGGCACAATAAACTATTTTTTTAATGTGATAATGTTTTTAAAGAATAATATGATAAATCAGTTTTATTTGGATCTGAAACATAGTAGGAATGACATTAAAAGGGTAATAGCAATATTTAGAGTATGAATAATTGACAGTGCAGTAGATCTATTTTAACAACCGACCAAATTTTTTCTTTCATTTTCTTCACTTTTATTCTTGATATTTCAACAAATTCTTCATTTCTATTAATCTTTTATTTTATTTAATGCATATTTTTCCTGCATTTTGGTTATATCTAACTACTTTTAACAATATTTGTAGACAGTAGAGAAGTGGCCTTTTAAAGAACTCTTTCCCAATATTATTCAAAATCAGTTGTGCGGAGATGCATTTAGTAACCTTTTTTGTTTGTTTACTGCTTCTTTCATGACATTATTTAATAATTAACTTCAACTGTCCAAAAAAAAAGTTATTTTTGATGCAATATTTATTTTGTAATTTTAATGAACTCTACATATCTTAATAGTAAAAATACATCATATCCAATTAAATTTAATTTTGATAATATTTGTATAATCAAGACTCAAGATCAATATCGTTAAGATTACTGCATATTGTAAGTTATGTACATTGTGACAATGTCACCTTGCAGCACATTGTTCAAAATTAATGTCACTCATGTTAGCCATTTTGTAACCGTGCTGCATGCAATCTCTTATGAAAACGTTTGCTGCTAGGTAGATACTAAACTATATCTCAATCACTCGGTATCCACAAATTATTCCACTAGTGTGAAAGGAAATCAAGTTTCTTTTTTGTACATCTCATTACCTTAGGCTCATAGCACATATAACTATTCCCTGGAATTTTACACGAGGGGTTTGTAGGAAAGTGCCACAAAACCCACAGAAATGTTCGGAGGGGGGGTGTGTGTGAAAAATCATATGCCAAATAAAATAACAAAATATTCTAATCTTTCTCCATAAAGAAATTACTCTTTTGGATAAAAGGTACCATTCAAAACTTTTATATACATCTTGACATATGTTCTTTCAACATTATCAACAGACTTTATACTTTTCTTATTTTGTTTTATAATACAAATGTTGTGAGGACTACAAAGAACGGCATTAAAGTAAAACAATCAAAATAATACTCAACACCTAATATGATCTGACAGTTTTATTACATCTAATGTTCATTTGATTCTGAGATAATTTCAAATACAGAAATTGTGCTAAAGTAATTTTAACTTTAGCACTTTCATGCATGAATTACCTGCTGGCGTCTCATCAGTTCCACCAACTTCATCTACTGTCTCATCAGGTAATTCTCCATTATCCTGCTCAGCACATGGTGGGGGTGGATCTGCATATAATATCTACAGTCATTAATAGTTTAAAGAACTACTTTTATATTTCACAAACAATTAATTTTACACCCACTTATGTTAACATGTACATAATCTAAAAATAAATTATCCTAACTCATAAATTTCATGTGATATGTTAATATTTAATTATGAAACTCATTTGGATATTTTGCATTACTTGTTGAAATGATGAAATATAAGTACTAGTCCAAAGATCAAATTACAAAAATAAATATAAACAAATTACTTTGTTGTTGAATGAACTGTGCTACTCACTTCTAAGATCGTAATTCTAATTGCTTTATTTTTTCATATTTGTTAAACTTTGTTTTACTGGTAAGTATCAACATTTAAGTTTTAGCTCCACATGCATATTAATAACATTAGAGATGCTTTCTTTATGATTTGTTTTAATACTGCCAGATCAGCATTACCAATTACAAACTTTTTTAAATTTTTGTTGTTGTTTTTTAAATCAAAAAATAAGGCTAATCTCAATTTATATTTTTGATAATCCTTTTTCAAGAAATTAACATTGAAATATTATTTTTAAGACTGTTACTAATTGCTTTATCTTAAAATACAAGATAGATAAAAGGTATGTATTCTAAGAAAGTAAAAGAGAATATTTAATGTCAACAACACTATATCTGTAATATCCAGTGCTGACAAGTGCCTCCTGCCTAGCACCAAGGCTCATCAGACCGGCTGGAATACAACAAACATAGTAGTGGTCTATCATCAATTTTCATAAATAACAAATATGGCATATTTCTTTACAATGTCAAAAATCCATTCCACATCAAGTACACGATGAATCACTGTCAAAAATGAACAATGGTTTATATTTTTGATGACATTTCAAAGTTCACACAGCTCACACATCAACAAAATTCCATGGTTTTTCCAGTTCTCCACTCTTCCACATGGGAACGAGTGTATGTGCCAGGAGGATGTATACAGGCTCTACTTTCTCACCATAATCCAGATGTCATACTTAAATTTGTGATGGAAAATCATGTACCTCTGTGAGGAGGTGGGTGGAAAGAGAGTTGAGTGATTAATAGTGTTCCTCAAACCGTACTACATGCAAGTACAAAAAAAAAAGATGTCAGTTGGTGCTGCCACACAGTTGCCTTACCTCTTGTCAGTGGTTGAAAATTATTAACAGTGGCAGATAGCTTTAGTAGCTTTGTCATCACAAAGAAAGGTTGGGCAAGATTAATGGCAATGGGAATCAAACTCCAGAACCTAAAATCACCAAAGCTTAACAAACTTGAAGTAAATTAAAGAAAAATACAACTTAAAAGACTAATTAAGCAAAGAACAGATAGCCCTTTATGCAGCTTTGGGCTTAAAAACAAACTAACATAACAGCTATATTTCAATTACATGGACAGTTAAAATAATTAGAAATAGTCATAATCAGAAACCATAATTTTCATTAATTATTTTCATGACAATTTAATTGTTATTTTGATTAATCAAAACAATAATTTCAATTAACCCTTTTGTGACAGGTCACGGGTGAAAAGCCATGTCATCTCGTTTGTTGACTCGCATTCAAAATTTTATTGAACTACTATTTCACAAATTTATGACACAAGTTTTGTATCAAACTGTAGATTATAATTCAT